GTGCGTTGATTTTCGGTCCGCTTTTCGGGATCAGCCCTCAGCCTCATGCACCCAAGGAGAAAAGCGGAACGTGGACGGGACAGCACTTTATTGGCTGGGGGCTGCCCAGCTTAGGCGGGCGGTAGCTGTCCAATGAAGTGCGAAGACATTGACAGACGTCCATTTGTGCACATCAACATCATCAACAGCTGCACAGATCTGCACGATTAGATGCAACAAACACAATGACTGTCTCGGATCGGGAAGCTGATGTTCGAACCGTATGCACACAAGCAGAGTTCAAATGCGTTCAAGGAAAGAGGAAGTTCGAGTTCAGAGGTGTAGTTGTAATCTCAGTTATCATCATCACAATAATGAGAACATTTTCCATATTTTGTTTATTGAACACATGAGAAATGATATCAATTTAGGTCGGTGAAATGCCCACCCTCTCCGGCAGCGGGATTTGAATACACTGCCCTGGGGACAAGACGATAGTATCGTACACCATCACCACAGGTTTGTCTAATTGGCAAACAAATCCGAGGGTACGTATATGTTCAACTTGTTGTTTGTCAGATTGAAGTCTTATGTTGAAAGCGTGAAAATTTCAGTGACCTCGGTGGGATTCAAACCCGCGCATGGACACCGCCCACGTTGTTGTACAGCGCACGCTCTAACAGCCGAGCCACACTGACAGTACACTTATCTTTTCACGTTCGAATTACCCATCCACCTTAAAGAGGCATCTGGGCATCATCAATCAACCGAACAACAATTTGAACAATTAACCTTGCCTTGAAACTTCATTCGGTGGACTCTGGTGAATTCTTGCGAAAGCCTGTCGTGGAAGTCGGGTTACATGATACCTTGTGGATTCAAAATATGTCTCTACAATTTGGATAGGTGATCCGGAGGTGAAAAGATTAGTGCTATTGGTGTGACCTCATAGCTCACTCAGCTGGTAGAGCGTGCGCTGTACACAAAAGCGTGCGTGGCGTCCATGCGGGGGTTCGAATCCCATAGAGGTCACTGAACCTTTCACATTTTTCAACATAGGTATGCATACGTTCAATGTGAGCCCACTCTTACAAACATGAGTGATGTTCTTGGACGAGGGGGAATTCAGTGAGAGAATACTGTTAATAAACATGAAATATGTGTTGACCAATCCAAGCTTTCTGATAAATGAGTCGAAGTAAGCCGTTATCACCACTATTTTGCTGATTAACGCGTATTAAAGAATGCAAAAAAATGCAACCGAGACAAGTGATGGAACGACGATGAAGCAGAACTATGACCAACAGAAAACTTTGGGCAAGGAATGGGAACACGCAATAGCGAGATCTGAGAATCCTGGATAAAACCAAACCAACCAGAGGAATGAATCAAAAGCGCGCGAAATTCATGCAGAACGTGATCAACCACTGAAATGAGAAAGTGAAAGGAATTTCTGAAAAGTAAGCAAACTGTCAACAAAAGGCATATATTTATGTATAATGCAAATACTTTTTGAATGTAGTAGTAATAGTCGTTATTCGTTCGTTGTCTGATTGATAGGGCTACGCACAGCTGATTTGCCTGTGTGTGTGTGTATGCGT